AAAGTATTCAAATGAAGTATTCAAATAAGAGTGAACTGGGCGTTCACAGTAAAGTATGTGCACGAAGAATCAACAAGAACTCAGAATAAATGTCAAACTTCAAGAAAATACTGCATATTACAACGGATATATTTTAAGTGCCGAATACTTAATGAGTTCAGGTGGGTAGCTGCGTCAGCATGCGTAGGCTGCAAAGGAACAAGTTAGAGGCTTATTCCATGCTGAAGAAAGAAGAAAACACTACTGAAGAAGGCTCCACGGCCGAAACGTTGCGCTTTCTTTCTTCTCTTTTCAGCATGGAATAAACCTATTACTTGTTCCTTTGAATATTTTATTATACTAAAGTTTTTTAATTAAAATAAAGCATCAAAATTCTCTGGCTCAAGACTGTGTCTTGACGTTCTGCCCTCTTCTGACCTGCTGCTGCATTATGAAATGAGCCCCCAAGCCACAGTTGGGAATATTGAACTATTGAACACACATGGTGTTGGTGTCGGTGTCGGTGTTGTGACACGAGGGCGCAGGAGCTACCGTAGCACTGCTGCCTCAGAACTCAGAGCTTGAGCCCTGGGTTTGACTGGACCTAGGGTTCCTACTCTAAGTCATGACCTCTTCACTCTTCCACCTTCATCAACCAGGCAAGAGTTGACGCTCTTCCTCATGGACGGACAGTGTGGCTTCCTTCCAGATGGTAACAGACTCGATGTCACAGCTGACACAAGCCATACTGGCCACGTGCAGGACCCCAGCGCCCTATTAAGTGACGTAACATTGGGATTTCCATGTTCCTGCCCACTACCTGCAGATATGACATTCAGTACACAAAGCAAATGGTTTTCAATGGTCAATCTTGGGCTGAGAAAAAGTACCATACATGATAAAGTGATATCATAGATGATAAAGGATGATCACACAGCAGCACCATCCTGCAAGAAATTCTCAGATTTAGTCACGGTTGAAAAGAATATTGTTTCTGGTGACTGTTTACTCATGGAAAATGCAGCCTGTCGGCACCTGTCCACCACACTGGATTTCCACAACTAGAAGATCATCCTGGCTGGTGCCAGTTACTACCCATCCCTGTGAGGTGTACGTTACGGATAAGCTTGGTTTGTCACGCAATCTCACTGACGGAGTCTAAACGAACCAGCTCGTTCAGTCTGCATTTTACTCAGAGGACAAAATCCCACATGAACGGCACACCACTGCTGTTTCTTTGGCCCACTGAATTAAAAGAAAAGTTGCAGAGGAATACCACTTGAAATTGTTCAAGTGTTGCGTAAGTGCATGCCTAAACTGGTATCTCAGCCTCACCCAAAACCTCTCCCACAAAATACCCTTAAAACAAACAGCCAAAGACAAGCCAGCACTGTGGAAGGAAACTGGTTTGGTCCGGGAGCCACAAAGATCACAGGAGAAGATATGACAGAGATAAGTGTAAAACCCCAGATCTCCACTACTACATTACCAAACCCTGGACATGCCGTTTCAACATAAACTCTTCTATAGCCACCAACAAAACTTGTGCAGTGTATTTGTGCTGCTATTATGCAGAATGCTAGAACCAACATTACCAAACATTGTCAAAAAAAATTTCATAAGCACTGCATTTACCACCAAAAACATGGCTCTTCAGAGTTAATTCTCAAGACTAGGTTTGAAGACACCCTGATTACATCAAACCAGCCTCAAGGCACACGTGTATATACTTAAAAATGTGAAATGTATTCGACAGATAATTCAGTTCCTTTATAATCAAAAACATACTGTGTTAATGTTAGCAATACTGAGTGTGACCCGAGTTCCCAAATTTGGAAATACAGTAGCATCATGTGACTGAAGTGGCTGCAAAAAACAAAAACAAATCAAAAGGCCAAGATATGCAGACTCTTGAGGATGTGTTATAAGTTAATAGGGAAGCCACTTGAGCAGAGCTTTCAAACTGCTTACAATGAGACTCTTTTGAGACAAGCTGTTAGTATGTCCTTTGAGTCCCTCACATTAGGGATAAGTATGAAGAAAGTCAACTGATACCTTCAAACAGATGTTTCAGAGTCCCTCAATGCAGACTTAACAAAACGAAGGCTTCATTACCCCACAGTCAATCAAGTTACTCCAAGTATTTGATATGGGCAGGTCGCTCAGTGTTTAAGTGCAAAATGAAAGGGTGTTGTGCAAATATACAGGCTGAGGTTGAGTATGTTGGAAGTCAACTCACAGACTGCGGTGTAGCTGTGTGGATTCCTGTGGGAGTGTTCTGTCATTAACGTAACGTTATATTTAGTTTGAATGCATCCTCTCAACAGTAAAGCTGTTTGGATGCAAAACAAATTTCTGAGAAAGCAAACAAGAAATCTTATTGTATTGTAACATTGCTAGCATCAATTTCCGAGTGTTTTTTTATGGATTAATACTTACTGAAAAAGCACCTGCACATCACTGTATACGACATCTGAAAACTGGAAAAAATAGAACTGCTCCTTGCCATCGCTTTTCTCTACCTTCCCTAAACACAGCGCTGAGATAAACAGGTTCATGCTGTGTAACGCAGTTGCTGGGTGTAAAACACGTTGTTCTCTGGTCCTAATTATTTCCTGAATTAGTGGAGGTACGTTTAAATGCCACTTTGAAGCCGGGCCGATGTTCAACAAGACTAAGCTCCAGGAAAGAAAATAAAGCCTACGGATTATCCATCTATCCAAGTTTGAACCGTTCTCCCAGTTCAGGGGCATGGGGGAGCCACGGCCTATCCCAGCAAGCAGAGCCAGGCTGGTGTACAACCTGGACACCTGTCCATCACAGACACGCACACTCACACCAGTGCACCCAGAGGAAACCCACACAAACCTGGGGAGAACATGCAAACTCCACACAGACAGCACCCCCAGTGCAGAATTGAACCCAGGACCCCAGTGTTGCGCATCACTATGCCAGTCCATATCCATTACCTGAGAAAGTAATATTCATTTGAATTAGTTTCCCCGAAGACTGATTTAATATTAGTAATAGTAGTAACGAACTGTAAATACCGTACTGACTTGTCATGACAGGCCAGATGTCACACTTCCGTGAGAAGAAAAGCCTTACTCCTTTCACTGCACGTATTTGAAGTTGCGTGGGGGGCCCACGGGAGACACCAAGCGCGTTTGTGTTTTGAATACAGGGCTAACTGGAAGCCAACAGACGTGTTCTCTGTATTCGGCTGTTGTTAACTGTATTGTTGACTGCACTAACAATTGTCGCCGAGATGTTAATAGCGTTCACGCCAAGCGTTCGTCTGTTTTCCAAGGCATCGATCTGGAGCTGTGATATGATCCGTGCACAGCAGTGACCAAGGGTGTCGGTTTGTTGGTACCCTTAAACCATTGTTTACCCAGTGCAATGTTGCAAGGGCACTGAAGTTACAATGCAATTTTTTTTTCTAAAAAAGGAGCTCACATAAGTCATGGTTCTGCTCTTCTTTTACAAAACGTGACTGCACAAACCACTTAACACCCCCGGACACATCGTTGATTTCAAACCGAAGGCAAACGCACAGCTGCCACCGATCTTATCTAATCCAAGCTCAAACTGTCATGAAGCGAGACAGCCGTCAGAAAATGTAAATGATAAAACTTAAAAGGCTTCCATGATCCATCCCGTATGAAAATGGGTAGACAAAAGGAACGGGTCTTTTATATTTCGGTCATTTTAATCGATTAGACACACACGCCACAATTCTTATAGAACTTGATTGTAACTTGTTCTAACATTAATTTCAGTTCCCGTAAATAAATCAACCGAACGTCAAAACAGATTAGATATCGTTGTCAATCTTCCAAAATTAATGCAGAAGGCAACTATAAAGGTGGGACTGAGGATTGCCTAAGGACATTATGAGTAGGGGGGACAAGAAAGATTTAGCGAGACGAATGAAAAAGTAGAAAGCCAAATTTGCCGTTCCGTTGACACCCGGACGTTTTCTTGACCACAAGCTTTTTTGACCGTGCAGTGTTATCAAATAAATACGTTCACGCCTCAAAAAAAGCCACTCGTTCAACTTCATGCACGGATTCAAATCAAACTGGGCAAGACAGGGCGACATCCGTACCCTACTAGCCAAACACCCAAATCTGAAGAAGTCGACAAATGAACCAAACACACACGCCACACACTCCAAGAGATTGTTGTGAACACGAAGACATTTCAGAATCGTTTTAATTCGGGCTCTGCACCAACGCCTGAAGTTACCGGACAACTTTCGCCCTGCAAATATTTTTGGCGACACGGCCGGTGTCACGCCGAGATCTGCGAGGAATCGTGACAGAGGCTTCGGCTGGGGTCGCTTTTACAGATTAAAGACATGAAGACGTGCCTCAGTTCCCGATGCGAGGATGCGAGAATGACCCACATCGAGGACAGAGACGCGGATCCAGGCAGCGAGGAAGAAGACTGCCCTGCAAGCAGCCAACTCCCTCTCCCCCAGTGTACAGAAAATCCTGAAAATATCCGTACAGCAACTTCCAGTCCCTTTTTTAGTGGCGATTTCAACGCATCGCCAACAAATCTGCTTCGCTGTTCTAGTATTTTTACCCAATAGCCTCGCAAAGAAAAAAAAAACCACACCGAGTTACAAAAAACAACAACCTTTCCTCGAACTGCAAATGACAATTCGGCAGATCCCCGAGATCATTTCCAAGAATGAATGAAAATTTAACACTCAACGTCCACGGCTGGCAAAAGACCAGATTTACTGGAAACCGCTACGCTCGGGTGCAAATAAAACCAACACAGTGCAAACAACGTTTTTTTTTGGAGGGGCAGAAAAAAGATCAACAAAATCTCCAACATCATCCACATCGCGTCGTGCCCGAGAGAAGCAAAGAAGAGAGACTTGGTCATCGCGGGTGACCGGGCTGTGCAACACGACCTGCGGACGCTCACATAACGCTCTGTACAAGAAGCTCGGCTTTAAAAAAAAAAAAACACAATCGGTGCGTGTAAAAATGTTCATGCATTACCTGGTCTATAGGGAGACTGATGATATCGCTAATTGGCTGCAGCAGGGTCGAGCCAGTGCAAGAGGATATGGTTGCTGTAGCCATGATTAGGAAGGTTTTTTTTTTTTGTACAAGATCCCCCTCTCTCTCTCCCCCAGTGGATCCCCAGATTCGCCTGCTACTAGCTGACAGCCAGCCGGGCTATAAGCTCCGCCGACAGCCAACAGCCGCTCACAACAAACAAACCCTTTTCTGTCTGCGGGCCAATCGTTCAGGGGAAACTGGCGGCTCTCAAATCCAATCAGAGGAGGAGGAGGTCGCGGCGGGCTCTGCGCTGATGTACAGGCCCGGCAGCTAATCAGAGGGCCCCAGCCGGAGCGATCCCGGTTTTTACAGCCCGCACGCCGGGGAAGGGAGAAGCCCGCCGGGCCGCGGATTATACTCGCCCTGCAGAAACGTCCGGAGAGGTACCAACAAGACAAACGCGGACAAAAGACAAGTGTGTTCGTGCAGTCTGACGACTTAAACCGCACAATAAGTATAAAAGCAAACCAGTCGGTCCAGTAGTTGTTTTTTTTTTGGGGGGTGGGAGGATAAAAACAATTGCATTTTTCAAATACTGCCCGGAGGGAGTGAGTGAGTCGTGGTGGTGGGGAACAAATAAGGACAGATGCATCGGTGGTGCTGAAGGAAAACAAAAACGATGGCAAAGGTATCGCGTTTGTTTTCAACCGCGCACAGCTGAGGTGTCAGACGCCCCCCGGCTCCTGTGCTTGGCTGTTTTAATTAAGCCCTAACAGCGCCGCGGAAACGGCGAAGTGACCCAACTCCGCCAGCCGGCCAGCCAGCGAGTAGGTGGGGGGGCAGTAAGGCTCCCCCCTCACCCCCCGCCCCGCTGTGAGTTTGCCCTTCCGCGCCGCCAGACTGAGCCCCGGCTGAGACACGTGTTTTGCTGCGGTTCCGGTGTGCAGCCCTGCTTACTTCAGCGGCCATTGGGAGTGGAGCTGGGGAGGCGGCTGTTTTGTTTCGTTTCGTTTCGTTGTGCTGTGTGTTCGTGTGTGCCTGGCTCCCCGTGAGCGTCCGAGCCGGGCGCCCGGCCGCGATGGTGCAGTGCGTGGTCCAGGGGTGCCCCAACAAAACCTACCCCAAGGCGGGGTTCGCCAACCGGCCGCGCAAGCGCTTCTTCAGCTTCCCGAGAGACCAGGCCCGGGTGAAAGTGTGGCTCGCCGCCCTGAGGGAGACGGAGCGGGTGCTGTCCGACCACCACCGCATCTGCGAGGACCACTTCCTCAAGCACCACATCACCCCGTTAGGGGTCACGAAGGACGCCATCCCCATCATGCCGCCCTACCTGGACGGGCCGCTGGCCTCGAGTGCGGGGACGGAGCTCGGCGAGTTCGCTGGCGACGCGGAGATCGAGGTAGGCGCACTTACATTAAAAGCCCCGTTTGTCGGCGCAAGGTTTTGGAGACATGATCAACCCGAGGGATATTTATTAGATTTTTACACTGTATTTAAAATATTGTCATGTTTACACTTGACACTTATTATAATAATAATAATAATAAGCTTTATTATATAGCGCCTTTAAAGGTGGCTTCTCAAAGCGCTTTACAGGATGAGTTTTAGTTTTAACTAGTTTTAATATACACTATTAACATAGCGCTATAATGTTTTTATGATTTGTGTATGGTAAAATGTACCAGCTCTTGTAACATGCTCTGTATGTGACATTGGAAAATGTATTTTTCTTTAATACATTGTTTGGAGTGCCTTACTTCTGACTACCTAGACCCGCGGTGCTGAGCCCGCAGTCAGGCCGGAGTTTGTTTTTATTGGTCGGCTGCACAGATGCTGCCACAAAGTGAGATGGATCCGAATACCGGAAATACAAGCGCAGTGAAAACAAACGCTTTTCTACAGCGCAATTCACAAATTGCTCCAAGCGTAAAAGCCCTGGTTCACAAATATTACACGTTTTGGGTAGGCGCTTCTTTTAGGTAAGATGCGCTGTTTTTTTTTACAAGGCAGCGAGAGCAACACCCTTGGTCCGTTACAGAAGCTCAACAGGCCCTTTAGTACCTGATTTCTTGTGTTTTGCCTCGCAGTACTTGTTCATTGCAGAGATTCTGATTTGTGGACTTGGAAACTCTCCTGCCTCATGTTTTTTTGGCTTTAGTTATGCTGTTTGGACCCTTTTAAAACGGATTGCAGTCATGTTTTTAGCCCCTTGGAATTTGGATGGGGCTAAAAATGCAAAAGCCTTCTAATTAGTTTTTCAGTGAAGCGCAGGAGCTTATCTGAAACTTCAGCTGCTTGTAAGGGGTGTGTCTGTAGTATAATTCTCACCCATGTGCTGTATGTCTGCTTTCATTTCATTGCCAACAACGACTGCTGCACGTTGTGCATTTGATAAATAAACTTTGGTTTGATTTGGCAATATTAAGCTGCACTGTTTGTAAGCAAACCGAGGAGTCCACAAAGGTTAATGTTTGGTTTACGGCAACATTACACCAATATAATGATATTCCTGAAACCGAGCACAGAGAGCGGTAAAATATTATTGGTCTTCAGGAGCACAGGAGAGATTTACTTATAGTTTCATTCAATAATGAAAACTCTCTTGAATATGTATGCTGTTTGTCAGTTCATATGCTTCACTTATTACTTATTATTTTCTCAAATGAGGATATTGTGATCTGTAAACCTCATGACCACATACTTTAGATGCAGAGCACGCAGTTAATTTCACTTTCATTTCAGTTAATTCAATAGGTGGTTATTTTAATTGGACAGTAGGAAATCTCATTGCAGTTCAGCTTATTTGTGATATGCCCAACTGCCATGCTTATTTGCATGTATGCTCCAATACAGAGAAATTAAGGGAACACCAAACTACAGCAGCAACAACAAAGTTAACACACAACGTAAATAAAAGTCAGCACAAGAAGTGTGCAGAGTAGAGGTGGAATTTAATAACTTGACAGCTTGCAGGAAGAAGCTATCTCTGAATCTGGAAGTTCGTGCCTTTATGCTCATATTGCTTACCATAAGATAACGTCACTTTATTAACCCTTTACAATTTCTTGCATTAGGAATTTGTCTTTTTGCATACCCCAGCTTGCTCTCCATGAGACACACAGACAGGGAGAGAAGCTTGTGGTCAGAGCGCAGGGTCAGCCATTGTACAGCGCCCCTGGAGCAGTTGGGATTAAGGGCCTTGCTCAGGGGCCCAACGGAGTAGGATTCCTCTGCCGGCTGCAGGATACAAACCGGCAACCTTCCGGTCACAGGCGCAGATCCTCAGCCACAGAGCCACCGCTCCGCCCCAAGGGCAGGGGAGAGGAAAGTGAGAAACCAGGATGACTGGGGTCCTTAGCGACACGTCCAGCCTTCCTGAGACAGCGAGATGTAGAAATGTCCACAGTAGAGGGGAGCTGTACTCCGGTGATGGACGGGGCTGACCTGATCACCCCCTGTAACGCCTTCTGGTCAGACAACGAGCTGCTGCCAAACTACACTGTAACCCCACACGTGAGCACACTCTCAATAGCGCACCTGTAAAATAGAGCACATTTTTTTCAACTGAGGAAGTAGAGGCGCTGTTACACCTTTTTTGTAGCTCCAGGTACATGCTGGGACCATGTAAAATCGTTAGTAATGAAGGTACCCAGGAACTTGAAGCTGCTAACCATCTCTACAGCCACCTCATTGATGTGAATAGGGGTGTGGTCCCCAAACTGCTTTCTAAAATCCATGACCAGCTCTTTGGTTTTGCTGACGTTGAGAGAGAGATTATTGTCAAAGCGCCACTCCACCAGGCTCCTGACCTCATCTCATCCCTGTAGGGATATTTCACCATTACTATTGATTTGGTCAATGATGATAGTATCGTCAGCTTGCTTGTAGATGGAGGTGGTGCTGCGTCTGGACACACGATCGTGGGTAAACAAGGAAAACAGCAGGGGGCTAAGCACATAGCCCCGAGGGGCACCTATATTGATGGTCAGAGTGAAAGAAAGCTTTCCATCCACCCTCACAGCCTGTGGTAAGGAATTCCAAAATCCAGCTGCAAAGAGAGGTGCTGATACCCAGATCATTGAATTTGCTGACTAGTCTGGATGGAATTACAGTGTTAAAGGTTGTAGGTGTAATCAGTGAATAGCATTGTAACATATGTTTTTTCATCCAAATGACCCAAGGCAGTGTGAATTGCTCGGGATATAGCGTTGTCAGTTGACCTGTTGTTATGCAAACTGCAGGGGGTCTAAACACTCAGGTACCATAGAGTTAATATACCCCAAGACCGGCCTTTCAGAGCATTTCATTCCAGTAGCTGTGAGAGCTACCAGTCTGTAATCATTAAAACAGGCCACATGTCATGGTGAGAATCATATCTAGTGGCATATTCTGCCAACAGTGTCAAGAAATGTACTGCACTCTATTTAAGACTAGTGATGTGGGGTATTGAAGGAAAATGAATGCAAAGCTTCAAGGCTAAGAGAATTGCTTTGGGAGGTACAAATTAAGTACGGTCTCTGATCTGCACAGTTGATCAATTACCTGCAGTTGATTAATAAACTGAAGCGTGTATAAAATATTGCTTTGGCAAAACTGATTTAGTTTAGTTTATAATCTGAAGCTGAGGAGGTTCCCGTCACTGCTATTTGAATTTCCTTAATCTGCTTTGTAAACTTATCATAATTATTCATATCCAGGGCAAATAGTTTCTTACTGCCAGTGGTCACAATCAAGAACCATGTGTTTTCAAAACGTCGGCCCTATTTCCACTTCATTTTTTTTTTTGTAAGATACTGTTTGTCAAAGACACGTTTACTGTCTTGAACAGGCTAGGTTAGTATTTTGTCCTTAATCACAAGTAATATAGAGAAGGTTGGCATGGGTGAGAGAGTTTAGCATAAAATGCTGAATTATTAAATCGCACATAATTATAAAACAAAAACACCACTATCCAAGATTAAATTCTTCTTACCCAGTCAAAAGTTGTTCCAGTGAGGATGTTGGTATTTTTGTAACATCTGGACTGTGCTTAATGCTTTTGCAAGCTAATGTATCTAATAATAGTTATATAGTTATTATTATTATAATATAGCTATATAATAGACTATAATGTTACTTTAATTTTGTTGGAGAAAAATATTATCCATTGAGAGACCTTCTGTAGAGTGGTTAAATTTTCTTTTATTTTAAGACAAACGGAAACATTCAGGAGACTCTGACAATAAACTATCCCATCTTAAAGGCACTGGAATACAAATGACAGCCTATCTTCCACTGTCAATATTAGTATTTTATTTAATATTGCAGCCACCTGTGAGACCGGCAGATCTGATAGGGAATCGAACCCAGATTGCCATCTTCCAAGACAAGTGCATTACTCCATTGTCAGAAGGTCCAGACCCAGTAGCAAGGCAAATACTCAAATTTAACCCCTGTCTACTTTAGGGTCCGTTACAATGTAAGGTGTAGGAGGTAAACTAGTTTTGATCTCTTCCACAAATTCTGTTCTTTAGGGCGTTTTGGGGAATGTGCAAAAAAATGTTTGCAAAAATGTGCAAACTGGTGACTTGGTGTTTTATTTAGCTAATATGACATGAATACGAGCTCCACAGACCCCTTTCTCTGGCTTTTCCCCATGGGCGGAAGTGCTGAAGTAAGCAGGAGCTACAGCACTTGATGAATTGCAGCTCTGCCCCAGTTCCGCACAGCACCCAGGGAGTGTCGCACTGAGGCACCTGAAAAGCCTTGGCTGTAAAAACACTTTTTTTTTCCCCCCTGTACCTGTAAAAAAAAAATTAAATTAAAGAACCAAGCTTGTATTACCATTTTCCCTTTATATCTTTTTAAAGGTACCTGCGAAACTGAACAGCTTGGAACGCATACCTAAACGTGGTGATTTCACCTGATTTATTCACTGAGTAATTGTGAATACTCTTTACAGGCCCACTGTAGAAGCTGCTCTTCACTGACGTGGAGCCAGAAAAGCAGTAATACTGCATTCTTAAACGGCGAGACTGTCAGCTCTTTCTCTAGCCACTCAAAATGACAGATACCCGGGCGTTTCAAGGACAGAGTTCTGCACGAGGGACAAGGTGACCGCTGGGGCTCTTTGCTGTTTTTCACCACCCTCAGTGCCCCGTTTCAGAGATCTAGTGTGACAGTAGCTGTTAACGTGAGCTGATCTCCCTGTCGTGTTTTTAACAGATCCATATTCTGCCAGGCTGACCAGAGATCAAGAAACCTGTCACTTCAGATTCTCTCTTTATTTCCTTCCGCTGAGCTTTAGTGCTGTGGAGGCAGGGCCATAAGCAATTTTTCATTTCCACAAGCCGGTTATTTCGGTCAGAAGCACCACTTGACATAGCGGAGTCAAAAATTGAGATCTGCGGCCGTTTTGGGTGTTTTCACCCTGGAATGTTATAGAAACTAATAAAGCTCTTACCCTGTTGGGGGGGGACTTGTCACGTGCGGTCCAGAAACAACGCTGCCAAATCATATCTATTACCTTAACCAAATTAAAAATGAAAGGGGGTTACAAGAATTCTTATTATCCAGGTTGTTGATTTCTATTTGTATGATTTATTTCTAAAATATTGGATAAAGGCCATTTGATGATGGGGCGTATAGGTGTGTCAGTGCAAATTGTCCAAAGGAATGTACGTAACTGTAAGACCACAATCTGTGCATGTACTGTGGTGATGTCACTATTCACAAATGTGTCCTTGCACGAAGAGATGTGCAGAAAGAGATTAGGAAGATGTGGATACTGTCCAGTGCATATTGCAGTGCTCTCGGGTTCACGTGGGTATGCGCCCTCGCCGCTGCCGCCTCAGGTCGGCCCTCCCCCCCCCCAATCGTCGGGGACTCGAACCCGGGCCTCGGGCGTCACTCAACGGGGACCCAGCCAGTTGAGCTGAAGGGAAATCTCCCATCAGCCCGGCGGCTGCGGTCCCTGCCATTCACAGGGAAGGGCGGCGACGTCGCCCCGCTGGTGAGCCGGCTCGCACCACCCTGAAGTGTCGAACGTATGCGTTACAGTGTTATAAAGCTGATGTCTAGTGCTTAGTGGGAAAACCCTTGGATTACATTGGCTATATTTTCCAAGTGTCGTGCTTATTTCTGTTTTCAACTGTGCCATCGGAGGCATTTCCTCTAGTTATGGCCTTGCAGAACTAGAGGCACCTGATATGTTTACTCTTTTATGTGATGTTAACACAAAAGTTACATGTAGAGTGTTAAGGCGTCGTCTCCGTAAAATGTTCCCTGTTGAAGCAGGCTGTCGGTGGACTGGGCTGATGGCGTTGTGGGAGCATGCAGCAATGTAGTCATGTCCAGCACTCTTTCTACAACGCAGACAGAACCTGAGGCTCTGGGTGGCTTTTGTGGGGGCTTTTGGGCCGAACCAAATGTCTTTCCAGATGCCATACACTGGCATACATATGGCAGAGGAGTGTCAGACTGTTGCTGTTGCACATTGATGCTGTGCCACTTTCTCCTTGTTTTCCAGTTTGGTAAGGCAAATGAAGCCTCTTCCGAGGATACCTTTTTTATGTTTTCCAAGTATACAAGCAGGTAGATGGATCAAAGGGACAGTGGCATTCATTTTTGAAGTAATTCAAGTATGAAAATGCCATCCGAAATACGTTTTCTAATGCCGATGGGTGACGAGTTTAAATGAGCATTCTGATTAATTGGCATATAGTGTTTGTATACAATTAGGATGCAAATACAGTTGAAGGGGTCAAGAGGAAAATAAAGGATGATACTGTTGAACAACAGGAAGTCCTAAAGCCGTTTGATGAAGGTTCATTGCCACAGCCAAGTTGTCTGAAAATGTGTAACTTTTTTTTTTAAAAAAAACAGGAGGAGAACCGCAGTCGTTGTTATAAGGAGCGGTCAGTGAACTGGGAGACCCCTCCAGAGGAAACTCTTGAGTAAGTGTTTCTACTTTCAGTGTTGGTGGAGAACACGGCAGCAAAAATGTCGAAGGCGGTACCAGTGTCTGAAAATGTGTTTAAGTCTAAGCATCATAAAATGTAAACAATAACATAAAAAAATAAGGTTTCCGTTTTTTTAACTTTGAATAAATGATGTATTTGTGGAATAACAGTCCACATTCATTATTCATCAATAAATGAAATGTATTACTACAAAAATGAATACAATATGAATTTTTTCATCTAGGGATAAGGTCCAGAAAGTCCATTTTTGCTTTTGTGCTTGTGGTATGTATCACTGAGAACTAAAGCTGTTATGAACTGATTTTAAAGTACTCTCCGTATTTGTAATCGAGAACGAAATTTGATTTCTATACAGGGGTTTAATCCCAAACACGAGTGAATTAAGTAGGACGAGATCCGCTCATATAGCTGTGGAAAACGGCGAGCGCTCCACCTAGCGTCCAAACCTGACATTACACCGCCGTGAACAACTGTTTAGGACAGCGGTGGCACGGTTTCGTGCGGTTTCACTTTAAAATCACGAAGCGGGCAGGAGTCAGTGTCGCGTTTTGAAAGCCACTCTGTGCCCTCGGATGGATACTTCACCGACACAATCGGATAAATGTCCGAAAGTCGTGTAGATTGTCATCGCATTGGGAGCCGCTGACGCAGAAAGTCAACTTCCGCCCTGCAGGAGGAAGCGGCGGGGGGCGGGGGTCTGTTGTGACAGGTTTGTCTGAGATCAGGCCCGGTGCTAGACCTGCAATAACAACAACAAAAAAAAAAGCAATAGCCGCTGAAACGCTTTGCTTTGATGCTATTCATTATGCAACATGCCTGATACCTTTCTAATGTTTTTTTTTTATGTTCCGACTAGTACTCACGCCCAGTGAACTTCCCTGTCTTGTATACTCAGCCCGTTCATTTCACAGCGCTGCGAGTCGGCGTCGCAATAACCGATATTGACATGACCAATGACACCTCGGAGTGCGAATGTCGTGGTTATATTATGATATGTGAATGTGTGCGTGTGGTCATCTACCCTATGCTATCAGTAAGCCCTCTTGCTGCCAGGTTTATGTAGGACTCTTTGACGCTGGGCAGCCTTATAAAATGAACCCCGAGCAGAAAACGCGAAACGTGGATCTTGATTCAAGGCTTTGATAAATGAGTGCTGTACAATTGTGGTAACACGCCAAAGTAAAACTAAAGTCCGGTTATTGTTGCGGCTTTTTAAGTTTTTTTTTTTTCACTTTAAAGTAACTTTAATCTGTTCGTCTTTTGCTGATGACGCCATCCTTAAATTGTATACTTCCTCCGATAGCATTAGAGATTTTCACCGATAGAGATGCCAATAAGAGAGCCTACGATTTCAGCTAACGTATATATTTAATAGCGTGATCATATGTGAAATCTGAGTGATTGCATGAAAAATATAGCATTCCCAGCTTGCAGAGATGAAATGTCTCAGTTTATATGCTGATTTCATTTGGTTAATTTGGCACACAGCCTTTACATTTTGCATAGGATGGTCAGAACACAGGTGTTTTGGTCGGTGATTTTTTAATAGTCTTCAGCCTTTTTCTCTCACCACATCATCTCTGCAAAGGTTTAACTGTTGTTTTGCAGATTACCTTCCTCAAGGAGTTTTTGAAGTATTTGTCAGAATAAACACCCTACTTGTGTTCTTTTATAACCCGTGTTGGACTCCTAGCCTATTCACTGCAAAACCTGTGTGAATCTGTATTTCTACAGCCAGACATTATGATCTCACACAGAAATCAAACCCTGACGTATACAACTTTTTACAAGTCCTCGAGTTACTTCCCAAATTGTTTCATTTGTCATCCTGATTTTTTTAAAAGAATATTTATCCTCCTTTAAGATGCATCAACAGATTTAATAAAGTAGAAAAACCTTCTGCACTCATAGTCTGTGAATAGATGCGTAACCTTTTTATTCCAAAACCATATAATTCAGGGTAGCACCCTTTCCAGGAATCCCGCAGCCCACTCCTAGCTCAGAAATGTGTGTTGTGTGAGCTGACGGGATTGGTTTTGCCCAGGATCTGGGCGAAGTGACTCATGCCCAGTGATGGGCTTGGGCATGGAAGAGCTGCCTTCTTCTCTGACACTTGCCATCTGTGTGCGTCACGAGCCGAGGGGCTGCACGGCCGTTAGACTTTCGATTCATGACAAAACCACGTCATCTCAAAGACCGGGCCTTCTCCGACTTCAGACTTTGACCTGATGTTTTGTTTTTTTTAAAGTTGATTTATAGAAGAACCTATAAATCCTTCTCAAGCATGCATGTTAATTAAAAGTTATTGGTTTCGTTTTTTTTCTCCCTGAACAAATCACAGACGTTCAGCAATGGATGAAGAGGGGCTGGCAGGGAGTCCCACAATAAAAGGTATGGGTCACATTTTTTTGCTGTGTTGCCGTGATCTTTGTCTTGGCTTCTGCACACAAACACAGTGCCAGTCAAAAATATTGGGGCATCTGGGTGATCGTGCTGTAACGCAAAGAAGGAAGGTGAATTGGGCATACTCCTGAGCATGTATGGCCAAGCGCGTGCTGGCACTACACTAAAGTCACATCAACTCATTCCTCCTCCTGATACACAAATGAACTTCTCTCGAATGAGGCAGCAGCATGACACCTTGGAAATAGTGGAGGAAGACAGGACTGGCTGCTGGCTTCTGAAGTACATTAGGCCTGGCCTCTTGTTGGGCAGATCTTGTTCTTATTCCGATCCCTACGTCACAGCACTGGGGCCCTGGATGCAGTTTCTGGGGAGCTATCTGTGAGGAGTTTGCATGTTCTTCCTGGGTTCGTGTGCGTTTTCACCAGGTCGCTGAAAAAACGACAGACGTACATGAAATGGTTGCAACAATCTGAAAGTCCTCCATTACACTTTCCAGAATTTCCTCATCGTTCTTTTGCGGCCATAATTTTCTCACGTATGCCCGACACTCGTAGCTGGAAATCGGGTGCCTGTCGCCGCGAGCTCAGTCCGTTTCTTTCCGCGCGTTTTTGTTTTCCTGCGGTTCGGTTCCGTCAGCCCGGCTCGACCGAGGTCACACCCGGGTGTGCGTTTGCACCGCTGCGTCTCTTTTCAGAAGAAAAGATGGGACGCGTCCGTTGCGATGTCTCCCTGGTCTACCTCACCAAGAAGTTCATGGACCTGATCCGGACGGCTCCGGATGGCATCCTGGATTTGAACAACGTGGCGCGGACGTTGGGAGTACGCAAGAGGCGCGTTTACGACATCACCAATGTGCTAGACGGCATTCAGCTCATTCAGAAACACACCAAGAACCAGATTCAGTGGGTGTAAGTGGTTCACTGTCGGATGTTTTTTCTACCCGAATCAAGTAACCGTCATCCAGGAATGTGCCTTAATGACACACAATACTAAATACAATTTATGATTGTATGGATGATGCAATGCTATTGCTTAACTCCTTATTGCAGGCTCTCTCTCTCTCTCTCTCTCTCTCTCTCTCTCTCTCTCTCTCTCTCTCTCTCTGAGAGTGGTTTTCTTCCACTGTCAATCGTGTTGTCAGTGTCTTTATTGACTTGGCAGGACTTTGGTGCCAGAGCTCCACACAAAATCAGTCTTTAGGGGCGAGTTTCTACAATAATAATAATCCCATACACTTATATAGGGACTCCCCTCCACCACCACCAGTGTGCAGCCCCACCTGGATGATGTGACAGCAGCCGTGGTGCACCAGTACTCTCACACCACACCAGCTCTCAGTGGGGAGGAGAGCAGAGTGATGAAGCCAGTTCAGAGATGGGGATTATTAGGAGGCCATGACTGCTAAAGACCAGGGGGAAATTTGGTCAGGATGCCGGGGTTAACACCCCTACTCTTTTTGAGAAACGCCCTGGGATTTTTACCGACCACAGAGAGTCAGGACCTCAGTTTTGTCTCATCCAAAGGACAGCGCCTTTTTACAGTATAGTGTCCTTATAACTATACTGGGGCATTATGACCCACACAGACCTCGGGATGAGTGCCCCCTACTGGCCCCACTAACACCTCTTCCAACAGCAACCTTAGTTTTTCCCTGGAGTCTCCCATCCAGGTACTGACCAGGCTCGCACCTGCTGAGCCCCAGTGGGGCTGCCAGCTGTGAGCTGCAGGGTGATGTGGCCTCTGGCGTGTACAGTGCACTTGAGTGTGTGTCTTGTTTCCCCATATCTCCGATGGACAGACCCGCTGATGTCCCTTTGCTTTTGTTGCAGGGGTTCAAACCTGATCTTTGGGGGACAAGGAGAAAAGAGGCAGCAGAAGCTGAAGGATGAGCTCCTGGATCTAGCGGTGATGGAAGAAGCACTGGATGAGCTCATTAAGGACTGTGCCCACCAGCTGTTTGAATTAACAGACCACAAAGAAAACGCAAGATATCCTTTGGTTAGTTTTTTGGTGGGGGGACACGGTGTGTGTGTGTGTGTGTGCACATTTTTAGGGTTGTGCCTGTTTCTCTAGGAATATAAGGTTACTACATCGCATTTCTATTGTTATGACTCCTCGGTCTTAAAATCACTTCATAGTAAAGGCCTTTTGGACATCCTGGAGTGATGGGACAGGGTTTTTTTTCTAAGTGATGGACACTGACAGTATTGTTGGTCACCAGAGAAGAGGCTCCTCACAGCCCCTGATTGTGAGCTGGGTGGGTGGGTTAGCACAGCGTGAGGTACTGCCAACAGGAGTAGGGTCACAGTAGTGGAAAGGGGACTGGAAGAAAAGTGTTTTACTACATGAAATCAGTGGGATAATCACATTCTCCTGTGCCTTTTACCTACAGTAGTGGTAAAACCAGTACAGGCACCTGAATGAAATGAATACCTTTCCCCTCGCTGTAGCATGAGGTTAATGCTGAAAGTTTGTTCACGAGTCCAGACCTTCTCTCTCCTGACTGTACCCCCTTTTTATGATCACTGCTTTTACATGTGAGCATATTAAGTAAGTGACAGCTTGGCATTTTAACATCGCTGTCTGAACTGAACCTCAGGAATACAACAATACGTCTTCTTGTCAAACAAGCATACGCAGGTGAGCAAGACCTTCCTGTTATATCAGCCTTCGGGTCTCCTCCTCGGACTGCGGAAGGGCTATGACCAGCGCCAGTATTGGTGATCTTCCAGTGTTTCAGCTTTTTGCTTTTTAAAGGTTTACCACAGTGATCAGAATTTTTCACAGAACCCAAGAAAGGTGACAGGCAGAGCTGCTCCAGAGATCCCGAGTCCATTTTTCAGGCTGTTCTTTAAACCGTTGTTGTTGTTGCTGCGGGATGTTGGGACCTACGAGACTATCCTCACAGCCGCGCGGGTGCAGTGTGGAGGAGTAGGGGCGGTCAGGGCTCTGGGCTCGGATCTGCACGCTTCTAGTGCCTGCCTGGGCACTGCAGGGTGCGTGGTGTTATTGTTAGACCGTTCACACAACTCTTGAAACGCACACACAACGCGATATTGACTGGCAAATTGTTGACGTAGCCCCCACCGATCAAAAGGGCGGCAAAATAAAATGGGTTTTAATTCCATTGATTGTAAGATTATGAAAAGAGTAATTGGAGCTCTACATAGCAATAGTATTCTAGGGAATAGCAAATAGATAGGTCCTCCTTAACTAACTTTATAGAGTTCTTTGAACAAGCAGCAGCATCATGCATGGTTTAAATTCTTGATTATACGTTAGATTTTCAGTAGGCTTTCGATAGTTTTTCATAACAGATAAATGTACAATTTGCAGGCTGTCAGCATTCGAGTTAATACAAGCCAATTGAGAATTATGGCTAATGGATAGAAAAAGATGTGCAAACAAGGCAAACACTCAAACTGGGGTGATGTAATTAGTGGAGTACCAAAGTGTTCTCTGCTTTTCATTATTTATATCGGTGATCCAGACTGTGTACTGTGTAGTAGGCTAGTCGAGCTCACAGCCGAGACCAAAATCGAAGGATGAGCAAGCAAGCAGAAGCTGCACAGCAGATCCAAAAGCTTGAAGAGAGTTCAAAACTGAGCAGACACCTGGCAGATGTGTACGGTAGACAAGTGCAGAGTGTTCCAGGCAGGCGGCAGAAATGAACTATAGCTATTAACAGGAAATGCCTCAAGAAGCGTCTTTTGAAAGAGGATTAGTTTTGTCAATGAGTGACTACGATGACGCACTTTAAATCTTCTAGACAGTTTGGTGAAGCGATAAAAATGTCAGACGTAAAGCTATGTAGTTAAAGCCCGGTGCAGTGGCTCTTTGGCTAAGGATTTGCGCCTGTGGCTGAAAAGTTCCTGGTTCGTATCCCGCAGCCAGCAGAAGAATCCTACTCGATTGGGCCCCTGAGCAAGGCCCTTAACCCCAACTGCTCCAGGGGCGCTGTATAAATGGCTGACCCTGCGCTCTGACCCCAAGCTTCTCTCCCCCTCTCTGTGTCTCACAGAGAGAAAAAGCGGGGATATCAAAAAACAAAAGCCCAAAACAAGAAAAAGTATATAGCCAAGAAAAAGAGATCAAAAAAAAAAAAATAATCTTAAGTGTACAACACGCTGATGAAATGTCTTTTACTATACCAAGTACACTTTTGGTCGCCATGTTACAAAAATGTTCTTACTACACTGTAAACAGTCTAGAGAAGAGCAGCCAAATACCTCCTACAGCAACAAATAAATCTTGAGCTGTACTATGAAGAAATGTACTGCGTTTGACGGGCTAATAGAACTGAAAGAATTGAATAATTTTAGTCTTTAACAGGGAGGACTTTGAGGAGATCCGTTTCATGTGTTCCGAATCCTTTAAGTCAACCCACTGGACACTTTCAGGGAAAGTGAAAGGCACATCTGAGAATACAAGGGTAAAACTACATGGACATGTACTGAATGGAAACTCAGAACAGGAGGCCCTTCTGTGCTCCGAGGACTGTGGAACAATAGGCCAAGTGGCATATTATCTAAGACAGTATCCTGGCATTTTTTCCAGAAAGCCTAGATGAGATCCTTAAACCCAATTATCTCCTAGCAACCAAGCAAGCCGGCCACATTGCCTTCTCCTGTCTGTAACCCTTCCTATATTCTCAATTTGAGAAATGTTTGGGTTGAACCACCAGATTCCTAAATTAATAAAAGAAAAGTGAGAAAATGTACACAATTACAAAAGTATTTTAGGTATTTCTCACTTATGTTAGCATGCCCTTTATGTGGTGTGATGTAGATGCACTGTAGCCTTTTTCCCTGATGAAGGGGCTATGAATGCAGGTAAACCTGTACTAAATGGGTACCTGAGTAAATGCTGGGTGACTTCAGTTATTTTGGTCTCCAGATGGTGGCAGCAAAAGCCAGGTGGAAGTCTTTCTCTTGGCTTTAGCAATGACTTGAAAATATTGATTTACACAACTTGGTTTACAGAAAGCTTTCTAGAAGGGTGAGTGTTTCCTAAGATATTTTAAAAAAGCAAGCAAAACTTTTCTTGAATTCTGCTAGGCAGAATAAGCTGTTAAGCTTCTTTTTTGGAATGGAAAATTAGTTTGTTGTTGGTAAATTTAACTACAATAAATGCAGCCTGGGACAAGAATGAGTTTGAGTACACAGTAAGAACAATCTTCCATGTGAAAGACGGTTCTTCAGTTGACAGTGCTTCAGAATCACTTTTTCTGTCACAAATTTTGCTTTTGAGAGCCGGTGATTTTGGTTTTGAGAGCTTTCAATAAAAACCTACAATAAATATGCTTTTCGCCCGTTTGACTTAATGCATTGGCTAATGCGAAGGTGGAGTTGCACTGTTTAGTTGTTTTGTACTTGGCTGATTCATAATGTACCTTATTCATAATTCCAAGAATTAGGTGAACATTTGTACAGCCGTTTCATACTTTTGTTTCAGAAAGCCGTCTCTGTTATGCAGACTGAGGTGTTGTTACAATGCGGCCCAGATCTTGGGTGCTGATATCGAGAAATGCGCGAGTGACTCTCCTTGACAATGCGGCACCTCAGCTTATGTGACCCACAGGGACATCCGCCAGATCCACGCCTTCCAGGAGCAGGTGGTCATAGCCATCAAGGCACCCGAAGAGACTAAGCTGGAGGTTCCTATGCCAAAGGAGGTGAGGCGCTTATTTCGCCTGAGAGCACGGGAGCGCGGCACTGTCTTTAACATTCAACACATTCCTCCATTCGTGAGGAATAACTCAAGAGTCCGTTGGGAGCTGCGAAGGTCAGATGGCCTCCGTTTGAAAGCCATGCTGCCAAGCCCAGTAAAGTTCTCAGGTTTTCCCCACAACTCTTCAGTGCTTGCAGTATAAATGTTTGCCTTCTGCATGTGAAGAATATCAGCCCCTGCAAGACACCCAAAGCTGAGCTAGCACACAAGGCTGTGCTTGTACTGTACTGTACATGCTTCTGCACTTGGTTTTTCAGTTCTGAGTTGCAGGTTGACATCACACAGTCTAGCATGGGGTCCAGTTAAGTGTAAAGTGGTGACCTCAATGTATGTAGCTTGCGTTGCATTATTTAAATGAAAAAACGTGAGTGTTGGCCTACCTTTAAAAGCACATCTGATATCTGACCTACAGTATTTATGCCCACAAGGCCAAGACTCTCCTTCCGTCTTTCATGTGACTCCGGGGAGATTAGGGGTCATCCATGAGATCTCTCTTTCAATAATCAAGACGTATCAAAGGTTCCAGCATAGCGGGTTCATAGCCTGTGGCCACGTTTACAGCAGTGCATCCTGTAAAAGGTTCTCCTGGGATTAACACGCTTGTGCTGTATGTGGCTCCTTAAAAACAAACCGCTTCTCCTCCTCCGACGTGCAAAAGCTGGGGGGGGGGGGAAACCGAGCCCAAGAACAGAACTTCTCTCGTGGTTCCAGGACGGCATCCAGATCCACCTCAAGGGCTCCAGAGGCCCGATCTCGGTGCTGCTGTGCGAGACGGACGGGTCGGAGGGAGATGCGGAGGAAGACGGCGGGACCTTCTGCCCCCTGGAGGACAGCCGAGTTCACGTGGCGCCTCTGCTCAGAGGTAACGGGTCGGTCCCGGTCCGTTTTCACGGGGCATGCAGAGCAGCGTGCACATTGATCCTACTGGCACTCGTAAACGGCAGCCTCTCGTAGAGCCCGGCTTACAGTGTGTTTTTTTCTGGTTTGGACTGCAATCGCTGTTTGGTAGCTGTATGATCGAGTGTGGGCTTTCCATGAAGGGCTTCCGTGAAATAGCCGGCCTGCGGGGTGCTCCCTCTATACAAGAATATCGGACCCAAACAGAGAACACCCCTTCTGTTCTAGTGAAACTGCACTGTTTCCAACACTTTTCAGCACATAGGACATTGTGCCGTCTTTCCTCTACGTGTTAATGAAGAATCTGCTCCCTTCCTTCTTCTTCTGACCGCACGGATCTTAATAGGTGATGTATTCATGACGAATAGAAACGGGTGGGAGTCGTGCCACATCAGACAGCTCTGTCAGTGAGTCAGAGTTTTTCCTTCTGCTAAAGTCCAGTTGGTTAGATTTGCAGCTGGAAATTCCTAAATTAGCACAGCGTTCATGCCAGTTCCAGACTGCATTCCGCTGTGGAAGAGTTAAAAGCAAAAAAAAAGGTGCAGGTAGAAAATTTAAACCGGCAAACAGATCTGTTTATTTCAGCGGGTTTTTTTTTTTGTGTGTGTATGTGTCTGGAGCAAAGACCGGAAGACACAGGGGGGGTCACCCAGTACGGGGACTGAGAAGCAGGCCAGAGTGCAGACGAAAAGAGTGAGCAGATTAATTACTGGCAGCAAACAGCAATGCGTCCAGTGAAGTTTCCCATTTGTTTCTCTCGGTGTTGTGAGCATTGTGTGGCGTATCGCCTTGAGATAGGGGAAGCTTGAGAAGCGAAGTTTAAAAAAAACAACTTTTTTAGGTCTTCTTCATGGGCTTGAAAAAAAACATTGTATACCACTGTGCTCCTTGGGTTCCTTATTGATAAAAAGAGCGTTATATAAAATAAAGTGTCAGAATGCGTGGGGGTAACATCAGCGCTAGCGATTAAGAGCCCTGTTTGAACATAAGCCGGGAGTGGTACTAAGTTGATTGTGAGGCGGTCACTTTACAGTGATCGAGACTTCTTTTTTTTTAGCAAGTGGTACTTTTCCTAAAGCAAAGAAAACTTGAGCAATCCTGGAAAAGCTGGAAACGAGCCTCGAGCCTCGGGTGCCATCTCCGCTTCACAGTCTGTTAAAACATCGGACCCGAGCAGCGGAGCTCATGCACCCTTCTGTCTCGTGACACAATGATAGAGCTGCTGCAGCAGCAGCTGTTATCCGGGTGTTGTTCACAGCCTTCAGGCGCAGCGAGTGCCGAGACGTTCTGTAGGCGTGTCGCATGTCGGAGCGATCAATACGGAATGCAGGAGGTCTGCAAAACTCGGCTTTCCTCTGGAACGGTCACCTTTCTGTGGATTGTTGCGTCAGTGTGCGCCTTATTTTAGGGCTGGAAGTTTGCGTGCTGTTATGTACTGGTGTGTTGCCAAGGTATTCACCCTCTCCCATTGGCATTCTCCTTTGCTGGTTTGTAAATGATGTATACCCATTTTGCTGCATTTGTATTTTATTGAAAAGCAGAAACTGAACAGGTTTATGGGTGAAAGACCCATGTAGAATTCTGAAATCTGATCTGTTGATAATGTAAATATTCACCCCCCTCAGCGATACTTGGTAGAACCATCTTCAGCTGCGGGTTACAGTTCTGAGTGTTTTTGGATAAGTCTCTAGCACCTTTGCATCCTAGGATGGTGCAGTTTTCACCCCCTTGTTCTTTACAAGCCTGCTCAGGCTCTGTCAGGTTGGCTGGGGACTGTTCATATAGAGCAATGTTCATCTCTTTCCTCGAGTTTTAATTTTATTCACTCCCGATAGTATCAGTCTGTCTTTGAACCACGTTATCCAGCACAGGGTTGTAGGGAGAAATCCCCTACAACCCTTATCCCGGAGCTTATCCCGCCCAGCAACAGGTGCTAGGCTGGATACACCCTGGACCGGACGTCAGTAGGTCGTCAGGCGCACATGGAAACGGAGACACACTCACGCCAGGGCCTGATTTCTCAGAAGCCAGTTAACCTGCCAGTATGACTTTGGACTGGGAGGAAACCGGAGCTCCCGGAGGACACCCACAAGAACACAGGGAGAACATGCAAACTCTGTGCAGACAGCACCCCAGGTCCAGAATTGAACCCAGTGCCCCGGCGCTGCAAGGTAGCACTACTAACCTCTGCACCACTGTGTTGGCCTCGTTTAGCGTTTTTGTTTTGGATTTTTCTCCTAGAAAAATCATGTATGTTAATATAAACTCTCTAAAAAATGGAGAGGAAGGGGGAACTGCTCTCACTCCAGGTACTCGTATACTGCATGTAGGGAAAGAAACCAGCTTTACATCGGCTGACCCTGAACAGAGCAGGTAAATCACGCCCTGCTCTTCCCACTCTCTCCTGTGCTCGTCTAGTAATTCATTTTCACAAGCCAGCTGAAACTACAATGCGTTACTTTCCTGCGGGGCTCAGTATCGTGAATTGTTCCACCCGTCCGCTTCTGTGGCTTTGCACTTGTGGTGTGCGGCGTCGGCGTGTCGGAGTCAGCCGTGAAACCGAGACCCTGAAGGCCACAGCACAGAAAATCGCACGAATACAGTAGCTGCAAAATCATTCAGCGTTGAGGGTTTCACAGTGTCCGTTTTTTTTTTCTCCTTGTTCCAGCCTCTAACTTCAATGTGGGTTCAATAACCGACCTTGTTTTTCTTCTTAGACGAACCAACTGTTTCATCGTCATCAGCTGCGAAGTCCCCGCACTCGGAGAACGGCGACTAGACGGCCTCGTCTGGGCTTTTGAGTGGCTCCTGCACTTTGTACGTGGTCCCGAGAAGAACTAGAGGGCAGTAATCATCGAGGATGTATGACTGCGCTCGTTTCGAAGTGAGCATGTGTAAAATAATCATGAGTGAAGTGAGCGAGTCGTTGAAACAGGGATTTTGTGTTCCTTTGAATCTGATTTGAAAGATGGAAAAAAGTCTCGCTGGGCTTTACAGCAGTCCTATTTCTATTGATCAACTGTGAGTGCGTGATGTAATAATATGAAAGATTTATTTTTATGTCTGACTGTGGTAAGAAATATTTTGTAATAGACTTTCACTGCTGCTCTGAAATGTGAAGCTCCATTGGAGCTCTCCAGTGTAGTGGCAGGATCAGGGAAGCTTTTAATGTGTCTTTCATTTACCTGTGTACATGATACATTTTCTCCAGGTAAGCAATCGTTCCAAAATCTAATTAGGTATTGAAATATGATATTAAGTAGCAGAACAACCAAATAGATTTGTGTTTATTTTGTGTTCTTTTTGTATATTGGATTTGATAAAATAAACTCAAGTGATATCAAGCATTCTGGTTTTATTTACAGTTACCATTCAGGTCACTACTAAGTGCGTTTCTTCTGTCGTCTGAAATGTATGCTTTGAAGATTGAAATGTATTATTGTGTAGCATGGATGATTTTAATCTGGAAATGGTGAACACCTTTCTCTTTATGCTCACGGTGTACATTGAGAAGTGCATTTTCAACTAAAAGCATTGGGCATTATTTAACGCAAAGAGACAAGCGAGTCTGATACAAGCTGTCCAGCCATATTGTTAAAGCCAGCACCCTGGCTTCTGTCCAGAAATGGCTGGCTGAGATCCTCAGATCACTTGGTTAGCTTAGGCATGTAGAAAAACATCCTCATTCTCGTTTTTAGCATTTCTTGTTTTTTCAAGTTTCTATATTATGAACTTTGCGCACTTGGCCCTGTCTTTCTCATCTGTACATTACTGTGTACCGGCAGTAGCTCTAAGCCAATAGAGCTGCAGGGGTTAGTGATATTCAATCCAGCCAAACTCTCGCGTCTTCTTGTCATCAAGCCTTTTAACCCCTGTAAAGGTGCTAGGGTCCGGACAGTTGTGCGTCTGAACATCCAGAGGTGGTTACTGCATCCACCTGTTTTCTCATCACTTTATCCAGTGAGCTGGGGCCTGTCCCGGGAGTCCATGGGCACAAGGCAAGGCAGGGTACACCCTGGAAGTGATGCCTGATGGGACCCTGGACAGAGCAAAGACGCACGCACGCACGCACGCACGCACTGGCCAGTTTTCACGAACATACTGGCCAATTTACCTGCCAGTATGTCTTTGGACAGCAGGAGGAAACCGGAGCATCTGGAGGAAACCCACACAAATGCAGGGAGAACACACCAACTCCAAACAGAGCACCCCTGTAGTTAATTCTTCTGTACTCTGAAGTCTTAGGTTGAGTGAAAGAAATGCACTGTTGCAAGTCGCAGTCAGTGAGGACTAGAGTAACTCATCAGCAAGCAGCAGTTAAAACTACAGTCTTAGCACAAAAAAGCCATGTGCTCCGACTGACTACTGAACATGGAGACCTTACTAAGAGCTGTGATAGCTGAAGAGTCAGGATACTTCTTTGAAGATGAACATTAAGGAAAACATTGTTAAACTGTGAGGCAAATACAATCCAACAATGATCGTATTGTCACAGAGCTTTAAGATATGATGTTTTTGTTGAATGCTGTTCAGAGAAGAGTCGAGATGCTTTTCCCTCGTGACGTAGGCTAATATTGGACAGGGTCTTGTGCGCTCAGCAATAACACAGACGCACTTTGTGCATGGACACGTGCCCTCGATGGGAACACTATTAGAGTTCAGTCAATGGAAAAGAGCAGCGGTGCTGTTTTAAGTGGTGCTGGCTTACTACACAACAGAGTGGTATCTTTTTATCACTGTATAGCAAAGGTCATTATTGGTGGGTATTAAAAGAGTTGGATCTTTAAGCCTATTTCTAAGAAACAGTAACAGGTGTGAGCTAGGATTTATTCCATGCTGAAAAGAAACGCAACGTTTTGGCTGTGGAGCCTTCTTCGGGTTCTTCTTTTCTTCTCTTTTCAGCATGGAGTAAGCCTTTACTTGATTTTTTTTTTGCAGCCTACGCATGCAGACGCAGCTCCCTGCTTGAACTTCTGCAGCTGTGAGCTCGCCAATTAAGGCACTGCCTCTTGTTACAGGAGGGGTTGGAGGTGGCTGTGTGTTTACAGCATTTCATTCTGATTCGCTGAATACAGCTAGAAGCCAAAAGCCAGATTGGGACGAAAGGAAATAATGGTACATGTGTTGGAGTTGGCCCGCCGTTCCCCTGAGCTGAGCTTTGTAATATATTTTCAGCTCGTCACTGGCAAGAGTGGCATGGGCATGGAAGCCGCCTTGAATTATGTGCTTTTCTTTTCTCTGCGCTTTCCCTTTGTCACAGTACAGTTCCCAGGGTCTGGTACTGAATAGGAGAGAAAAAAAAAACTTCAAATGGCTCCGAACGCAAGCAAGGTGACTCAGCCCGTCCCCAGCTGGAAGCAGGGATGAAGCGGGCTGTTCAGTGTGGAGTGAGTCATGGAGAGGAGCTCCGAATTGGGCACTCAGGACCAACTGTGCGCGCGACACACAAACATCGGGGTAGCGCTGACAGAATATTGAGTGTTTTCAGTTCCTAGTCCTTGTTCTCTGCCGTGCAGAGCAGCGGTTTCTGGGAAACTCTTTCAGAAAGTAGCAATGAGGAAATTTTGAAAGGAACTTTTGCTTTCTGATGTACAAAATCTCTTTGGGCTTTGCTGGAAAGGAGTGTGCAGGGTTCACAATATTTTCATGGAGATTTTCAGGTGTGTGTACCGAAATCAAATGTTCGTTTTATGCACAAGCCAGTCATTTCTGTAAAGCTCCTTTGTTAGGGGAAAAATATGCTTTATCAGTCAACTCACCTAGAAAAGATTAATTATGCAGGATTGGATTCTTTTTGTAAGACAGTTGTCATAAAATGGTGTTTTCAGTTCAAAAAAATTTAAGTTGCAACTGAAACTTGTTAAATATACACACCTGTATAAATAACTTCACAAATCTGCTATTTTTTCTTCCGAGGTGTTCAGCAAAGACTAAAATTATCCCATGATGTATTGAGATAGCAGTGCCCCTACCTAATTAAATTATGATACTTTCGGGACTCCCTCGCTCATTCCTACAGTCGCATTAAATCCAAAAAATTATTTACTTAACCTGAGGGGGTGAGGACTGGTGTCACCCGAGAAAAGAAGGATTTTGATTTAATGCGACGAACGTGATCACAGGTCTGTTATACTTCCCTGTGTGAATGTAAAGACGGATCAGTACAGAAAAAACCTTTCATTTCTACATCAATACACTGAAGGAAAACCTTTGTTAACCGTGAGCCCTGCTGACAAAGAGATTTTCTTTGAGCTACAGTAGCTGTCTTGAAGACCTAATGCTTCTTACATCGTAAGAAATGCAAAGACCAATCACGGCGACTAATCCTCTGACCTGGAAGATGCCGTGTCCCGTGCTGGGCCCTTCATGTTAGCAGGCCACACAGATGAGCTCCTGGGGGGGTGTTGTCCAGTGAATTCCCTCTTCAGCCGGACTGCAAGGAAGAGCAGCACCAACCCGGTGTGGAAACTAGGAGGCAACGAGCCTGTCAGTGGAACCACATCTGCTCCATACTCATCCTGCTCTGTGGAACCACAGGGACGGAGCCATTTCAATGACCCGTCACCTTAAATCTCCTGTTCCCAATGACCCTGTCACCTTCATTCTCCTGTTCCCAATGACCCGTCACCTTCATTCTCC